TATGGATTGTGATAAGAATTGTATGAGCCCCTAATAAAACGATTAAAAAAAAAAAGATTGTAAGTAAAACATTTAAACATCAACCCCCACCCCCCAATTATTTTGCTATTTTAGGCAGTGCTCCTGGTCTGCCAGAAGGGGGAGATAGGGCAAAAAATAAACAACCCTAAAGCTCACGTTAAAAGGCTTGAGGCGCCTCCAAATTCTGTGCTATACAGTAATTTATCCTCCCCAAACCATGGGGTGCTCAGTGCTCTCCCTCCCTCCCGTACCACATCCTGGTCGGATGAGGTTTCAGGGTGGATCCCGTTCAACTCCAGAAGCACAAGAGACCCAGCAGCAGGTTAATGGCCCTTATCTCTGATTTCTTTTTCTTTTTTGTCTGTATCTTTTAGACAGCTCGGTTAATACTGGGTCCATCCAAGACTCACAGGAACAACCACCCCTGTTTGCCAACAGGTCAATGAGCTAGGGTGTCAATGCTCAGTTCTGTCTCCAGTGGGACAATGCCGTGCTAATAACACCAACAAGATTAGGTCAGCAGTCAGAAGGCCTGAATTCTGTGTCTGCTCTGGCCAAATGGGAGAAAAAGGGCGTATTATTAAGTACTCACTCTCAGTGGTCTTCAAAAAAGTTCACGGAGAAATAGAGTTAAAAGATAAAGGAGTTTTCCGCAAATCCTTCGCAAAGTCCCCTCATACGTTGCTAGAGGCATGACATAATTCCCACATTAAAAAACCATGGTGGACCAATACCTCAGAGTTGTGATGCCCACTTTCAAGCAGCAAAGGGAGGCAGGAAGGGAGGATCAACTGTTTCCAAGAGTGCCTGCATTCAGAAACCCATGCTGTTGCGTTCATTAATATAGCTTAGGGGTCACTTCGTGGAGATTCTAATTGGTGCCATTAGCACAGGCAAAACTAAGCTTTTCATAAGAAAGAAGATCACTTACATCAGGAGTAATTCAACTGTATGAATGTGGGCATATTTCCTAGCCAAAGTCTTTCATATGAGGGGGCTTCAAAGGGTTCACGTGAAAAGTCCATCATTTTTAAATTTCATTTTTCCATGAATTTCTTGAGGCCCCCTTGTCTGTCAGGATTGTTAAAAGAAAGAAGTCATACACATACACTTGACTGGGCTCACTACTAGACTGTGCAAAAGGGGACTGACGATTGGTTGACGACATCCCAGCCTCCCCCACCCTGGCTCCCCAGCAGACGCTGTATGCTGACGAATCTTTAGAGACAGGTCCCCAGCCCACCCGCCCGCGCAGGGCGCAGCTGTAAGGTGCGCACACCTGCGCTGAGCGCCTGCTGCTCCTGCCGGGTCACGATCTGGGCGATCTGGGCCCGGAGGGCGGCGAGCTCGTTTTCCAGAGCACAGATCTTCTGCAGGGCTTCTTCGCTCGCCAGGGCCGCCATCCTCAGTGGAGGCTCTTCTGGAGACAGGGATGCTGAGGACACCTGCCTGCTTGGGGGGTCCTCAAACACAGGAAGGTCATCCTGAAGGGGATGCCTTGACCTGACTTCAGTCCTGCAGGGAGACATAAAGGTATGAAAGGTGGCTGTCACTGGCTCTGTACGTAACAAACCATTAATTAACAGAGTATTGGAACACAATATACAGAAAACACTTTACATAAACACCTGCCTACAAGCTTCAAATCAGCAAAACACTTGCCAACTTATTTAGATGCCAGACCTGGGTCTCTTATTGGCATCACCCTTCTTAATCTAACACACCCACACTGTCGGGAGATGCCGTGGTGGCCAACAATGTTTTTGCTAACCTCAGGTTTTTTGTTTTGTTTTCATTTGAATTAAGGAGAAGAAAGCTTTAATGCGCTGGAAATAAGGCAGTCCCAGTTTATGATGGATTTGCGTTCTGACAAACTGACAAAACTGAACTTATCATTAGTAATATGGATGAAGGGGGGCTTTAAAACGTTTGTGGAAAAAGAGAATGAAAAGATAATGGGATTGTTCTGTGAACTTCCTGAAGCTCACTCAGGCTACATCTACATATGACATTACTGTGTAATTTGTGGATGGTATCATTTCCAGATGTTTATTGGAAGATGCTCAAAGAGTCTACTTATAGCAGCATTGATAATAAAAGGGGCTAATAATGAAAGCCAAAAAAATAAAAAGAAGTATTAGACTTGGGTACTGACTTGTGATGAAATCTAACCTTGGTGTAAACTGGGGACTATCTGTACTAGTTACATCTGATAGCAAAATCAAATAAAGTCATTGGTCCCTGCCGAAGGCTTGGATTCTGCCTATCAGTGTGTGAGTTAGTTAATTGTGCCAACCTGGCCAATAATCACATGTGGGCCTAATTGAAAGGCGGAGGGATAAATGGGTGGTGAGCCTCGCCTTTCTAGTTCTCGGGTCTCTTGTTTGTCATGGTCGCACCAGGGTGCAGCTGCCTTAGTAGTTCCCTGCTTCAGCTTGCAAGATTGACTTCCTACAAGACATCCCCAAGGAGAAGCCACATGGACCTATCCCGATGCAGCCCTGGGTGCTGGAGCAGCCGTGTGGAGTCCCCTGCTAGTGCTGAGATGCTTATTCATTCACTGACTCAGCTTTCCTCCTGCAGTTGTCATCATTGCCTCTGTTTTGTGAGGTGGAGGACATTGTGGACTGGTGTTGGGTTAATGGGTTAATGTTGGACTTGTGGGCTTGGGCAGCATTGGGTTGGGATGTTTTCGTGATGCACACTTTCTTTACATAAAACTCTCTTATACATGAGTTGCTGTGGATTTGTTTCTCTAAAGTACCTAGACTAATACAATGTGCCAGACACAAAGGGGTAATATGGCCCAATCAGAACACCAGAAACTGAAAAGTAAAAAAAGTAATCATTCTAACTGAACCCAGGCAATAACCAGATAGATGACCTCATTTTCATTTTTAACTAAAATCAATGAGGTTTATATGTACTGCCTTGTATTGAAGCTCCTACTGGAGGAAAATCTTTGGGCTGAGACTAAAACTCAAGATTTCTTTTCAATTTATGTACTTAACCATTTCTTCATCTTTTCAGCAATTTAGTTTTCCTCATCCAGATTCCAACTCTGAGCCCCCTTTTTATCTCAAATTCCTAGGGCTAGGAAATCGCCCTAGACTTACTTTCTACCTGAAAAGAATTTAATCAACAGAAAAACTACTCTCTGCATATTCTCATTTGACATTCAACCTGTAAGACCAAAAGGATTCGCCATACAATACAAAACCAAACAAGCCCACTCCCACCAGGACGATTCCAATGCACAGCAATCCTATAGGGCAGAGTGGAAGGGCTCAGCACAGGGCAGATCCCCTGGGGAGCGGCTGGTGGAGTTCAAGGACCGGCCTTCTGCTTAGCAACCCAGCACTTCACCTACTGCGCACTGGGGCTCGTCACACACAGGTGTAGCCAGAAGTAATTCTAGCTCTGGCTTCCCGCTCTCAGTCTTCCAGAGAGAATACTGTCCCAGAAGCAGTAAAGCCAGGGTCTTTGTGCTTTGTTATTTGGGAGGGAAACTGTCTTTAACGCTTACAGAAAGGGAACTGGCACTGCATGGAGGCCTCTGCGGTCCAGACAGGATTCCGGTCCTTTCATATGCTGCGGCCATGTTCACTCCACACCGGGCGAGGCAGACACTACGATGTGACAGCTGAGGAACGGACTCAGTGTCACACAGCTAACAGGTGGAAAAGGCAACATTGGCTGGGTTGGTTTTGTTTTTGTTTTCATTGTGAATCATGTTCATTCATTCATTTATCAAAGTGTGGTTTGGGTGAAAGTCTACAAAGCCAATCAATTTTCCATTAAGCACTTTGTGTTGGGACATGGAATGCAATCCCCACAATGTAACAGTACTCCTCTCCCTTCCTGCCTGTGTCCAGTTTCCATTCCTCCTCCTTCCCATCCCTTCCTGCTTGGTGCGCCTCGTCCCCTCCCACGCCGCCCTTTGGGTCCAGGATTGGACTAGGGGTGCACACTACTCTGATGCTACTGTTCACCTTACTGGCCTGCTTGGCATGGCAGGAAATTAAGCCACAGGGGTGAGTTGAGTTCCAGGCTTGAGAGTGTTCAAGAGGTACAGTCCAGCCAGAAAGCCTGATCTTTTTGATTATTATCATCTTGAGTTTTGTTTCACATGTCCATACTATCACTGCTGCTATCCTTCAATAAAGGATACAGAAGTGTTATGTAACCTTGTCGTTTTAAAAATAAGAAAAACATTATAGAGAAGATCTAAACATATTGATAATAACCCTTTCTGGTATCCCCTATTAGAATGCCAGCTTCGGAAGGGCAAGGGTTTCTGTAAGTGCATGTGGACTTAGGGCACAATTATGGCCATAAGCGCTTTAGAAAACTAGCCGAGTCTTAAAAATGAACTCCAAAAAAAGCATTGTCTCTGCTTAAAAATTCTTCAAGTCAAGAAGGCTGCTCAAGAAAAAAACTGGATTAGTTACTAGAGATCAAGAAAGTATCAAAAGGAAACACTTTGAATAACTCATCCTGTAAAATAATAAAGATCGCACTTTAGGTCAGGCAGTCTTCCAAACTAACCTTAGTCTTGTTGAACACTCTCCTTCTTCTTTGGCTACCCATCCAACATCGGCAAAAGACGCCACTGCATCCTCTCCTGGATGGCTGGGACGCCATTCTGTGTCGTAGTTGGTAAGCTATGTGACAAATAGGGAAAGTTATGAAGCGGGTACCAAAATATTAATAGTAATTAAGTCCTCCATGGAACTATCACACTGTTTGCAGAGTAGCATATTGTAGTCTCTGAATTAGAATTTAACTTTGATTTTTATTTTACAGTTTAAAAAAAACAAAGAAGCACACAAACATACACAATGCAGCTCAAAGCGTTTGTGAAAAATTCTATTACCTACAAACTTTTCAAAGCACCTTCAATAGTGGTAGAACATAGCTAATTTTAAATACAAATGAAGGAGAAGAGGAGAAAACATACAGACACGTTAAATATATCCGGAAAATGAAGGGAAAAAACCTAAATTTAATTTTTGTTCTATTTTCTTAGAGGCAGAAGGTCAGTGTATAGTAATTTTAAGTGAAAAAGTTGAAAAATCTATAATAAAGGAGAAAATATTTTGGAGCCACCTATCTGATAAAAGTTTATTCTCCACAACCTATAAAGAATTACAAATCAACACCAAAAAGAAAATAATTGAATTAAAAATTAGGCAAAGGATTTCAAATAGATATTTCTTCTAAGTCTCTTAAAAAGGGATACAAATGGCCTGCAAGCAAATGATCAATGTCATTAGTCACCAAGGAAATGCAAACCGAAACCACACTGAGATTCTATAAGATAGCTACTTTTAAAAAGAAAAACTAGCCAGTGGTAGTGAGAACGCGGAGAAATTGGAATGTGTCCTCCCCACCTACTACCATGACCCAGCTCTACCTTACAAATCCATCTAGAATGGAGTACACACATTGGTACAGATAAGAGCTCATGACACAAGGAATTCAAGACAGAGAAAACCTTCAGGAACAGTAGTGGGAGTAGCGATATCACAGGGGGGGGGGGGGGGGGGGAGGTTGGAGCCATAGCCACACCCAGGGGGATGAATAACAGAAATGTGGGTGAAGGGAGACAACACAGTGTAAGACATGAAATAACAACAACAATATACAATTGATCAAGGCTTCACAAGGGTAGGAGGGGAAATAAGAGGAGCTGATACCAAGGGCACAAATAGAACGAAAATGCTTTAGAAATGTTGATGGCAACATATGTACCAGTGTGCTTAATACAATTGCATGATAGATTATCATAAGATTTGTGAGAGCCCCAATAAAATGATTGATAAAACATATACATGATCTAGCAATTCCATCCCTATGTATATTAATCCCAAGAAACTTTAAAGCGGGTCCTTAACCAGCTACTTGTACACCAATGCTCACTGCGGCATTATTCGTGACAGTCGAAATGTAAAAACAACCCAGGCATCCAGCAACAAATGAATAAATAAGCCAAATGTGGTAGAATGTTAGACTGATCAACCTTTCAAGATGATTACCCAAGTTCAGAGGAACAGGAAAGGAGGCATGGAAACAGGAAGCACGGGAAGAAATGGGTTAATAAGCCACTGGGCGAACTGCTGTAATGGATGCCTTGAAACAAAAGTCTATATGCATCGTTGACTGTCTGCACCATCAAGGTCTCCTTAATAGTTCTACAGCTATTAAAACAGGAAGATTCCAGGTTGGGAACGTGGACATCCTTCAGCAGGAAAGTCATCGAAGCACTATGGCCTGGTTTGTAAAACTAACAGAAATCAAAAAACTAAAACAAGTGGCACTATTCAAAAGGTGTTCTTTCCTGTGAATTCATCAGATTAGAATCCTTGTTTAAAATATTAAATTGTGTTCTATTCCTAGTTGGTACCAACTATAAGACAAAATCCAGTTTTGAATATAACACCACTTACTTTCTCATTTAAGCTTTCAAAATGGTTTTCTTTCCAAGTTTTTTAATAAAAGAAAACATCTTTCTAAAAACCAGTACTCAAAGACATCAATCAATGCTGTGGCATCCTATAAGGTAAGTAAGGATCCCTGGTGGCACAGTGTGCTAAGTGTTGGGCTGCTAACCACAAAGTCAGTGGCTTAAACCCACCAGCTGCTTTGTGGGAGAGAGCGGAAAACCCGAGGGAGCACTTCTACTTTATCCCGCTGAGTTGGAAGAGAGTCAAAAGGGAGTGGGGTTTTATTATGATAATTAACACTTTCACCTCCTATTTTTTTCCTCTGAATTTTTGTTGTTGTTGTTAATACCATGTGTTTTCGTTAATGAAAAGCATGTTTAGTCAAGGAATATTTCTGGAATTTTGTTATGAAATTAGGATTCTGAAGCATGTTGTGTGTGACACAGATTCTCTGGACTTTGGGAAAGGATTGTGCAGGATACATGTATCGTTCTGGATTTGGGAGTAAAATGTGAGACACTTAGGCCCCTCTACACACTGCATCCATCACTGTCTAGATCCCTCGACAGGTCAATAGAATTTAGTGTGCCTGAAAATGCAGCATTTTGTAAGAGTACAGAATTAATGCAAAAAAGGGCAACTTCCAGATAAGGCACAGAATAAGAAAGACAAAAGGGGAAAATGTTCAGTAAATAAAATCCCACTTCCAGGATCTATCACCACCTCCTGGAAAACCAAACGAAAGCCCGAACTCCCAGCCATCAAGTCCACGCTCTCACAGTGACCCTATAGGACAGAGCAGAAACGCCCCGCCGAGCTTTCAAGACTTAATCTTTACAGGAAGAGTAAGCCTCATCTCTCTCCTAGTAATAGCTGGTGGTTTCAAACTGCTGACATTGTTAGCAGGCCACATGAGCCACTACGCTGCTACACCTAGTAAAATACCCTGTGAAAACACGGATTTGCATGTGCGTTTCTTCCATCTCAAACTGCTGTACATGTCTCCTCCTGCTACCCAATACACTCCAGATCAAACATATATTTCTCAATTTTATATCTGTAATAATTCATGTACTAAACTTTAGTTGGTGACTTTGTCACATTCATAGCACATGCACAATTGAGTGAAAACGTTAGTGATATTGTCAAAAACCAATTCAAAAATTGAAAAAGATTGCTATCAATTTTATTTAACATTCCACCTCACAGCACAAAGTAGTTTAGACATTTAAGTCATGCGTGTACATGATATAGTGATGTATGCCACTAACAAAGATCTACCTTGAGTTCTCCTTTCAGTAGAGCGTGCGATAAGTGGCATGCACGTGGAATGGAGTGACAATCCATCCACTTGTAAATACAAGTCAAGATCAATGCTGACAAGGGGGCCAAGGGCAGAGGATTTTGAAGTATGATTTTGAAGTATGTTTTGAAGTACGAAAGTCACGACTGACATTCACAGACAACAGATGCGAATTTTGAAAAACAGAAAGATTGACTTACTGAAGGTTCCCAGCAAGGTTCTGTCCTACTACAGCTATCGTTAGCAGAAAAGGAAAAGAAACAGGAAAATCATGAAAAGGCAGAGAGAGAAATTGTCAGAATCAATGGCATTATAAAGTTTAAAATAAAATGTAGTGTTTGAAAATTTTAAAGTATCTAAGTTTCTTTCAAAGAGTTTATTAAAAACTTCAAAGCAAAAGTTCCATAACAGCACTGCATTTTCTAGGATTAAGAAATCCCATTTCACAACTTGATACCATCTAAATCCAATCATATCTTAGAAATCTTACTAGAACTATGAGCAAACCAGGAGGTACACTGGTACAGATAGGAACTGAAAATACAGGGAATCCAGGACGGGTGAGCCCTATAGGACCAGTGGTGTGAGGGGCAAAACAGGGAGGGTAAAGGGAGAATGGGTAGGAAAGAGGGAACTGATTACATGGAACTGTGTGTGACCTCCTCCCTGGGGGACAGACAACCGAAAAGTGGGTGAAGGGAGACGTCGGACAGGGCAAGATATGACAAAATACCCATTTATAAACTATCAATGGCTCATGCGGGAGGGGGGAGCTGGGAGGGAGGGGAAAAATGAGGACCTAATGTCGGGGGTTTAAATGGAGAGAAAATGTTTTGAGAAACGATGTACAAATGCTCTTTACACAATTGATGTGTGTACGGATTGGGATAACAGTTGTATGAGCCCCTAATAAAATGTAAAAAAAAAAAAAAAAAGAACTATGAGCAAATTTCAAATATTCTGATAATATAAACTACCATGAAATGAATTCATTTCAGAAAGAGCCAAATTGTAGAGAAAGTGAAATATCTACAATAAAAATACTAGAAGAGCTAACTTTGTTCCCATATAACTTTTTTTATTAAACAAACTTGCTGGTACTGGGAACTTAGGATTCTTTTTATTTCTTGACAAGAATATAAAAGTAAATATTTACTGTATTTCACCTTTTCACATAAGCTAGTGATGTTATCTACATATAGATTTGTTTGGCTTGCTCTATCTCATCACTACTTGTTTATAATCAAATACAAAGCATGGATACTTAAAGACACACAGTAAATGGTAATCTCATGGGACAGTTTCACTAGGTTTTACTTCCATTTCCCACAACTTTTTGAAGGGCTGTCTTGTAAGTAGGCGTTATGGGGTTGGTCTGTAACTATGGGGTCATACTGAAAAGTTGGATTTCCCAACTTGCAATGGCCCCCAGAGCACAGAAACAAGCGTCTTTTCTATGCTTTCTGACATGTATGACTGCATTCTATTCCCAGCACAGTATCTGTTACTAGATGAAAGTGTGGCTAAGTCTGTATTCTGCTCTGTGACTACAAATATACTGAAATCCAATCTGTAGAACAAGTAGGGAATTGCCCTGGAGAGCCGTAAGGTGGTCACAATTACAGATGCACAGTAGCAGCGACTTTCGCCGTGCACTTACTAAGCAGCGGTTGTGATGCTTATTGCTTAACCCGGGCACCTCACCCAACCCCAACACAGCAGTGCTCCTGACTGAGCTGGCATTTACAGAGAAGTCTGCCTTGACCACAAACACACCGCTGAGCGGGGACAGGGGAAGATGTGCGATCTAGGTGGAGCCTGCCGGGGCCGAAGATTTCAGAGGTGAAACCATTAGATGACAGAGTCGAAGTAAAAGGTAGAGTGGAGGCTCAGTTTCATAATGGTCCTCTCCCAAACACTGCATGAAACCACCCAGGCAACAGCAAAAATGGGGGTGGTCTTCACTACTAACGCCTGCTTCTAGATTGATTCCACTAATATCCTACTGCCTAAATATGGATCTTCAATCCAGGTCTCTGATCCTCCCACCAAGTGATTAGGGGAGACCATATAAAAAGTGTGTGAGAAACACTAAATCGAGGGATTGGTTTTACCATTCCTCTGGGCAAGAGCTCGCCATCATCTCAAAAGCAGAGCATTCCCAGACCACACAGGAAGCAGAGGCACCAGCAGAATACATTCAAGTTCCCTACCTGAAGTAGTAGAGAGGGGCAGCGGAGGCCACTCAGAGCCAGGATGCTGAGAACATGCAGTAGTGAGGCAGAGGCAGGTGGGCTTCCTGGCACACAGAGGTCAAAGGACAGTGTGTATGCGAACTGGAGGACCAGAGACTTGGCTGCTGGCTGAGGAGAGGTGCTGCGGTGGACATAAGACTGGATCCTTCATGTTCCCTCATCCTGGCTCGTGGCTAAATCCCCATCATCATGAGTACTGTCCGTGAGTTTTGTGTGGCCACTGTGAGGAATTGCCCAACCCAGTCAAGAAGCAGAGTGCAGTGGGAGCAAGGGTTAGTGTCAGAATAGAGTGAACAGAGGATGGGGGTGGAGGCACATCTGACCTCGCCTTGAGGCAATCGGCCTTGGGCTGGAGGAGAGATGGAGTCTCCAGCTCCTTACTGAAGGAAGCCTGAGGAGGTCTGTTAGGGTTGCCAAGCCATTTTTTCAAGTCTGTCTCCTAAATAATAACTCTATCAAGGTGTCTGCCCTCCCCAGGCAGACCATGGCCTCCCCGCCCCAGGTTTCCTCCACTAGTGTGAGCCCAGAGGACATTCTGTGTTCGTCAGCCCACACCTGGCCATATAGCGCAAAATGGCATTTTCAATTTTATTACTCTCAATACCATCCTCTGTATGTTGAAGTCACTACAATTAGGTTTCTGACAGATGTAGGGGGAAAAAAAGAGAGATATAAAGGAATAACAAGATTGTAAATACACCGCTCAAAAGCTGAAAGTCTCACTGTAATAATAACGTTGACCTTGAAAAGATTTATTTCCACTTCATGGAAATAAAATTCTCACTCGAAACAAATGCCACTCACCTTCCATTGCAATCTCACGGAGGTTACCAATGAACTTACCCTACTGATCTGCTTAAGTTAATCGTCTTTTTTTCAATGCAGTTCCTATACTAACTCTAATTATCTTTTTGCTTTATACTTTATTAAATGACTAATAACAATACTTAAAAAGACTCTTCCCAACGAAAGTAGATGGCATTACTTCTACTCACTGATGGTCACAGCAGATTTCTTTCTCTCTTTTTTAGTGTACTTGGTCTTTTAAAATAGTTTTATCGACATATAATTCACATCTCATACATTTTACTAGTCAGGTCACATTAAAAAAGATTTCTACAATCATCACATATTCTCCCTGCAGGTCACAGCAGATTTCTGTGGTAACCAGGAAATGCTAGTTATCTCCATGTCCTCTCCCATGTTAGCTCCCTAAATGCAAATGGCAAAACAAGCCCACTCTTGGATCCTGATAGGATAGGGTAGCACTGCCCCACAGGATTTCCAAGTCTGTAATTGGCTTGTCCAATCTTCCTCCCATAGAATGGCTGGTGGGCTTGAACCGCCAATCTTTTGATTGGCAGCTGAGCACTTAACCACTGCACCACCAAGGTTCCAGAAGAACGGACAGATTTTTAAAAATGTCATCTAACAGAGCAATCAGGTGAACAATTAATAAGTTACACAATAGCAATTTGAAGAAAGCTAGCAAGTAAGGCAACCAGCTATTTAAATGTCGAAATAAAATGAATTCTTAGAAAGATTCATTACCACAGATTTCCGATACTTTAGTCTTCTTTGTTTTAAATAAAAACTTACTTATTGGAAACTTCCCATCTGTCAGCTTCTAGATGGAAGCACAAAGGTTCCTACTCAATTTGCAAATAGGATTATGGACCCTAGGGTTTGTTATATGGATCCTAGTCTTAATAAACAAACTTTTAGTCAAGCTAACAAGGATAATGCTAATTTTTATTTACTTTAGAATAGATTTCTACTTCTCTATGAAGAGAAGTAGAAAGTTCCATTCCTTTACCAAGAGAAATAATTTGACTAGCTATGGTATCAAATAAGCAAGTAGGGGAACTTCTGAGCTTTTGAATTACAAGTTATTTAAATACAACTTCTGTATCTTCACATATTGCTCTATCACTTAAAACTGGTACAGGTATGTGCTACCCTTCACATGATTAGGGTTGAACTGAAAAGTTGTTTGTTTTTGTCATGCTGCTACTGTGGAGAATTATTGAAAAAGAACGGAGCCACGTGAAGTACGTCTGCTCTGGTAACACTAATAAGGAACAAAATGCCGGATCAAAGAAAATGGCAATTTGCCTCCCAGCAGAGGTTGCTCTTGATTTGGTGTTAAAGAATGCTTTTAAGACCTGAGCTTTCAAAAGTACTGCTAAATTCAGGATTTGACTATCACCTCAACCAGAGAACCAGAATTACCTCTGTCTTAACCCTGACATTGCCCCAGGCATGGTTTCCATAATTTCTGCTACACTGTACAGTTGTAGTGGGAAAAAGCAACTTACAGGGTATCTAAATATTCAAAAAGAATCTCAGGGGGCCGAGCAGCTGTGCAAGAAGGAAGAAGTAAGAGCGGAAGAAGCTCGAATCTACTACAGACAATAACTAGAACGAGGGTCCCTGTGGGCTAGGACTGGGGCAGGGGGGACAATATCAAGGACTACAGGAAGGGTATGATGGCTGGATTATGTACAAATAAAATGGTTTGGGGGAAAAAACAAAGGGTAGAAGAAAGTAATTGTGATCCACGAGCCTCCTGAAGTACGTAGGGTCAAAGTCACCTGGGAATTAAACACCGTTGTGCTTACTGTATGCTTCTAATAATATACATCTTCACATATATACTCTTCTTAAAATAAATAAAGCTTTATTGAGATTTGGGTGAAAGTTTATAGGGTTCATATATAAGACAAATCCGGTGGGGAGGTGGGTGTGGGAGACCTGGTAGGGCATGATCAAGGGGAATGTAACAAAGAGGAAGTGCTGAAATCCTGGTGGGGACTGAGCATGATAGT